GGATATTTAACTTTTAATATGAGGTTCGAAAATATATTCCAATAAAATATTCCTATCATCGACATTCCCGAAACTGATCTACACATATTAAACGAAAATCCTGATTTGAAAAGACTTTTTTGATAAAAGGTATCTTGAATAATATTTCATTGGATGAATTTCCATTTTTCCATATTTATATATTTATTTTTTTTATAGCGTCTCTTTGTTGTTTATTGTTTTATGTAGCAATCGTAGTATAGATTTATATACTAATAAATGTCTTACCACGTGAAACTTCCATTTAATAGTTTTCTTTCCGTCGGTCCCTTAATGAAATATAATTCTTGTATTTCCCTGCCGACCAATACTGGTATGTCCATCTGCGTGGAGTCGTTCCAGAGCGTCTCTCTGTTAGCGGAGACGACTCCCCGACAGAGCTGTTGCAACGACGACAGCTGGCTCCATGATCTCTTAATAGCGTCAATGTTACCGCCTTCTATCGCTCTGCACACTAGTATGTTTCGTAGATAAAGTCGCGATCCTCCACCTCCCATGTCTCGTTGCGCCAATTGCAAGAATATATATCCTTGTGGTTATAATTAGACACTATGTGGTCGAGGAATCGCTGAACACTGTAGGTCACTATGACACTGCTCTTCTGCATCGTCTCGTATATATGTGTTTCTTCAAAGTAAAGAATTTCCACATATAAATGTCTGGATTTGTAATTCATTCGAAAGAGCATACATAAACCATTAATATTACGTGTAACACAATACACGATATCTATTATTATATCGGAGTCGAACAAATTGCGCAATTCCTCGTCCGTCCAATACAAACGTTGTTCGTCGAGAAAGGTTAGGATGATAAACCTGTCTCTATGCTTGGATATTAACTTTATATGAGGTTCGAATATATTCCAATAAAATATCCTATCATCGACATCCCGAAACTGATCTACACATATTAAACGAAATCCTGATTTGAAAAGACTTTTTGATAAAGGTTTCTTGGATAATATTTCATTGGATAAATTTCCATTTTTCATATTTATATATTTATTTTTTTTATAGCGTCTCTTGTTGTTAGTGTTATAGCAATCCGTAGTATAGATTTATATACTAATAAATGTCTTACACGTGAAACTTCCATTTAATAGTTTTCTTTCGCGTCGGTCCTTAGTGAAAATATATTCTTGTATTTCCCTGCCGACAAATACCGGTATGTCCATCTGTGTGGAGTCGTTCCAGAGCGTCTCTCTGTTAGCGGAGACGACTCCCCGACAGAGCTGTTGCAACGACGACAGGTGGCTCCATGATCTCTTAATAGCGTCAATGTTACCGCCTTTTATCGCTCTGCACACTAGTATGTGATCGTGACACGTTCGCGAGGAATCGCTGAACACTGTAGGTCACTATGACACTGCTCTTCTGCATCTGTGTTTCTTCAAAGTAAAGAATTTCCACATATAAGTGTCTGGATTTGTAATTCACTCGAAAGAGCATACATAAACCATTAATACTACGTGTAACATAATACACGATATCTATTATTATGTCGGAGTCAAACAAGTTGTGCAATTCTTCGTCCGTCCAATACAAACGTTGTTCGTAGAGAAAGGTTAGGATGACAAACTTGCCTCGATGCTTGAAGACACTTTAACCGAATCTTTCTTTACCTTATAATACACTCGCGTTCACGCAAATTACCAAACGGTGACGATGATGATAATATCGAATTGATTAAGCATATGTTATAATTTCTGCATACAGAGACTTCTTATGTTTTATTGTAAAATTCTATAATATTTTAATCGTTCCTTTCATCATCTCGTTTGGGAATATAAATAATTAGTTAACATGACAAATAAAATATTCATCATATTACTATACAGGACTTCCTATGGGTATTGCTACTGATCCCGGCTGTTGCACCTGAACCGCATTTGGATTAACAGGATCTGGATTAGTGGCCACAGAATTCAAAATTTGCTGCTCTTGTAAGTAATATGGGTTAGTATAGACAAATATACTAACATTTACAGTGTCACTATCAGAAAAAAATACGTGATTGGGTGCATGAACCCCTTTAATAAAATGATTACTTTTTCCTAACAAATATGCTATAGCGTTTTCAAAGTTGTTTTTTACAGACCACCTGATTGCATTACAGCGAATTTCTTTATTAGCGGGCATTCTTATTAGCACTGGGTTTGTTATTGTAGCTAACATGGTAAGGATATTCTTCACAAGTTTTTCTTATAAATTTTGAATATTCAAATACCATTTCGGTGATTTCTATAATATTTTTTTTTCTTCAAGTATATATTCACATGTATGTTAAATAAATAAAAAAAATGTTCACATTTACTTTTGTATCACTTGATAATTTGTTTACTCTTTTTTTTTACCCAATACATAATAGCAATAATAACAATGTTCCTCCTCTCCTCTGTCTCGACGATAAGTTATTATAAGCACATTATATAGTAAAAAGAAAATATTTAAATCCTATCCTCCTATAGAAATGAGACATTTTTTAATTAATATTTCCAGTTGGGTGTTATAATTATATATACCATAGTCAATACGAGTATCAAGATTAATTGAATATTGTTCTAGACTGACAAGATAAAGAAAAGAGATAAAAAGAAAGAATGATGAACGATGGAATCAAATACACCTCCTCATCACTCCAGACAAGAATCTTGGAATACGGAATTTAACACTACGACAGAGGGTCTAAAAAATGATCACCTAGAACTTAAAAAGGATATAGCACAAAAAAGGTTTAGTAGCTAAAATTCACCATTCTGTTCCTAGAATTTGTTATATAATATGGGCGATTATGATATATTTATTTTTAGATTTGTTACATATAGTGAGCGACTGTGGGATATTCATCACATCACATTATAAAGGAATCTCTGATAATATTATTAATATTCAAAGATAGATAGAGAGAGACACTATAATGGTTACCATAGATAACGAATTACAATTTGAATATAAACGTCTAGAAACGTTTAAAAATGGAGAATGGCCCTACTGTGAAATAGACCCGGCTCCTTTGGCTAAGGAGGGATTCTGTTATACGGGAAAGAGTGATTGTTGTGTCTGTGCTTTTTGTAGAGGAACAGTGAGGTGTTGGAGATCTAAACCTGATGCAGAAATGGAACATTCTCGTCTCTTTCCACTCTGTAAATACGTTTTAGATAAGAACGTAGGAAACGTACCTCTCATGAGCAGCACCTTCTCCTTAACTAAAGGTAACTATAGCACATGCTGTTATGTTAGTTTCTATATATAGTGTTATATTCATATGTTGATTATATGTTGTAATTATTGTTCTTTTTTTTAGTCATCCGGTCCAATAACACTGAACCGGTGCATGTGAACTTTGTGATGCATCGACAGCGAATGGAATCATTCATGAACTGGCCAAGAGATAAAAAGATACCAAAAGCTGTTGATTTAGCAGAGGCAGGATTTTTACGACCAGCAAAAACTTTAGGTATATTATATTATATTATTATAATATATATATTATATATATATATATATATATATATATATATATATATATATATATATATATATATATAATATAATATGTATGTATATGTAAACTAATACCTATGTTTTTTTTTTTTAGAGTTACACGACCTGGTTCAATGCTTTCAGTGTGGAATAAGCTTAGAGAAATGGACAGAGGATGACATACCATGGAATCAGCATGCTTTATGGAACCCATATTGTTCGTATCTTAGGATGGTGAAGGGTGAAGAATTTATCATGGAGGTAATATTAAAGGAAGGGGGGGTAATTGCATGAGATAAATTTGTATTTATACTCTTGATGATATAAGAGTATATTTTCATTCTACTATATATATATATATATATATATATATATATATATATATATATATATATATATATATATATATATATATATATACATCTATGTTTTATAATAGAATTTATTCTTTAGGTTCACAATATGAATTACACGAGAATGTCGACGATATCTGATTCTACATTGAACCAGTAAGATCATCATCCAGAGATGTCTGCAAAGAAGGAGAACGATTTAGGATATATATATATATATATATATATATATATATATATATATATATATATATATATATATATATATATATATATATATTAGTTATGGTATGTATTATTAAGTTAGAATTATTATTATTCTTATTATAAACATATAGATAAGACTTATTCATATACAAATATATCGAGTTAGAGTTAATCTTATTATTATATACATTGTTAAGTTAGAATTATTATTATAGACTTATTCATATACAAATATATTGAGTTAGAGTTAATCTTAGACTTATTCACAAATATATTGAGTTGTTACTGTTATTTTGTTTCTTTAATCATTTATAAAGCGATAAGTAAAGGAGAATTAAAAAAAAAAGACCATAGTAACTATACAATAATACAAAGTCAGCTGTTATGAACTCGCATACCATTGCACATGTTATTCATCAATCCAAGAGATCGGCTTCTTTTTATAAAACGGGTTTTTCGTAGTATAACCTATAGCTTTTACAGTTTTCAGTAATGTATTTCGTACGTTTTCTATGTTACAGGGTATACTTCGAAAGACCCGTTTTTATCTAACCTTTGGAGTCGCATTTCTCAAGGAAAGATCAATCTTCGCCCATTCCACTTACAACATACACAAAACATGTAAAACACCGTCTTATTTAGTTGACTAATGAGAGAAAAAAGCGAAAGTGTAGCGGTAATTTCTCGGAGATCGTATGTATTCAACCTCTCAGAATACAGATTCATATATGCGATGTTTCGATAAATACTCTTTTTACATTATATTTACTTGTCAATATTGAACAATTTAACATGTTTCTATACATATTATGAGTAGAAAAAGAGCGGAGATCAACCTCTCCTTCAATGATAATGTAGCACATGCATTCCAGAGTAATGACGTCACACGCATTCCAGAGTGCTGACGTCAGAGATACAGAAAATAGCGGTTTGTTGGGAGTAAACGACTATATTCATAATACACCTATCTTTTATTTTTACATAGAACATGTCCTGTGAATTCTGAATATAAAACACCGTCTTTTTTAGTTGTTTAACGAGAGAAAAAAGCGAAAGTGAAAGCGAAAGTGTAACGGTAATTCTCGGAGATCGTGCGTCATCGATCTCTCAGGATACAGATTCATATATACGATATTTCGATAAATACTCTTTTTACATTATATTTATTTGTCAATATTGAACAATTTAACATGTTTCTATACATATTATGAGTAGAAAAAGAGCGGAGATCAACCTCTCCTTCAATGATAATGTAGCACATGCATTCCACAGTAATGACGTCACACGCATGACGTCAGAGATACAGAAAATAACGGTTTGTTGGTAGTAAACGACTGTATTTATAATACACCTATCATTTTTTTTATAAAACATGTCCTGTGAATTCTGAAGATAAAACATGGATATTTCGATAAATACTCTTTTTACCTTATATTTGCTTGTCAATATTGAACAATTTAACATATATCTATACATATTATAAGTAGAAAAAGGGCGGAGATCAGCCTCTCCTTCAATGGTATTGTAGCACACGCATTCCAGAGTGATGACGTCAGAGATACAGAAAAAAGTTTGTTGGGAGTAAACGATTATTCTTAATATATTTCATAATACACCTATCCTTTTTTTATCATTCCAGCTGTGTTTCAATTTAGTTTATAGAACCTAATGAGAGAATAGATGCTAGTTTACATATAAAAGTATTGGTTTATAGTTATTTATATTGTAACATCATGCATCTTAGAGAGAAAGAAACAAATGGAGATATGTAACATTAGGGTATAAAAAATATAGAAAATAACTCAGATTAATATGGATTAATTGTTCCTGAGTATATTATATGTTGGTTTACCAACCTATAGAAAAAACTAACAGAGAAAAAAATAATTTAGTATCGAGATGATGGCAGCAAGGGATAACGAGGCCAGAGCGATAAAAAAAAAGTGAAATCATATGGGGATAAAAGAACAAATATTAGAAAATATTCTATCCCATTCATTATTCGCCAGTTGTGTTACAAATTAGTTTACAGACCTTAGTGAGAAGATAGATAAGTAGATAATTACTGGTTTACATAAATATATTGGTTTATAGTTATTTATATTGTAACATCGTGCATCTTAGAGAGAAAAACAAATGGAGATATGTGACATTAGGGTATAAAAATAGAGAAAATAACTCAGATTAATATGGATTAATTGTTCCTGAATATATTATATGTTGGTTTACCAACCTAAAGAAAAAACTAACAGAGAAAAAAATAAATTAATATCGAGATGATGGCAGCAAGGATAACGAGGCCAGAGTGATAAAAAAATGTGAAATCCTGTGGGGGATAAAAGAACAAATATTAGAAAATATTCTATCCCATTCATTATTCGCCAGTTGTGTTACAAATTAGTTTACAGACCTTAGTGAGAAGATAGATAGTAGATAAATACTGATTTACATAAATATATTGGTTTATAGTTATTTATGTTGTAACATCATGCATCTTAGAGAGAAAAAAACAAATGGAGATATGTAACATTAGGGTATAAAAAATAAAGAAAATAACTCAGATTCATATGGATTAATTGTTCCTGAATATATTATATGTTGGTTACCAACCAAAGAAAAGATAACAAGAAAAAAATAAATAATATCGAGATGATGGCAGCAAGGGATAACAAGGCCAGAGCGATAAAAAAAAGTGAAATCATATGGGGATAAAAGAACAAATATTAGAAAATATTCTATCCCATTCATTATTCTCCAGTTATGTTACAAATTAGTTTACAGACCTTAGTGAGAAGATAGATAAGTAGATAATACTGGTTTACATAAATATATTGGTTTATAGTTATTTATATTGTAACATCATGCATCTTAGAGAGAAAAAACAAATGGAGATATGTAACATTAGGGTATAAAAAAAGAAAATAACTCAGATTAATATGGATTAATTGTTCCTGAATATATTATATGTTGGTTTACCAACCTAAAGAAAAAACTAACAGAGAAAAAAATAAATTAATATCGAGATGATGGCAGCAAGGGTAACGAGGCCAGAGTGATAAAAAATGTGAAATCCTGTGGGGATAAAAGAACAAATATTAGAAAATATTCTATCCCATTCATTATTCGCCAGTTATGTTACAAATTAGTTTACAGACCTTAGTGAGAAGATAGATAAGTAGATAAATACTGGTTTACATAAATATATTGGTTTATAGTTATTTATGTTGTAACATCATGCATCTTAGAGAGAAAAAACAAATGGAGATATGTAACATTAGGGTATAAAAAAATAAAAAAATAACTCAGATTCATATGGATTAATTGTTCCTGAGTATATTATATGTTGGTTTACCAACCAAAGAAAAGACTAACAAAGAAAAAAATAAATAATATCGAGATGATGGCAGCAAGTTAACCCGATGTTACCAGACCTTAGCACACATCATGCATCTTAGAGAGAGAGAAAAAAAACAGATGGAGATATGTAACATTAGGGTATAAAAAATATATAAAATAACTCAGATTCATATGGATTAATTGTTCCTCAATATATTATATGTTGGTTTACCAACCCAAAGAAAAGACTAACAGAGAAAAAATAATATCGATATGATGGCAGCAAGTGAGTAGGAAGGCCAGAATAACTGTAGCAGTCAAATGGAAAATCAATACATTCTCAACCGATGATACAGTTATAATGCACTGTACATCAGTTTGCATTTATCGTCAATATGACATACTAAACATTGTATTTTTTAAACGTATGTGTGTATTTTAAGTAATAATATATAGAGTGTCCTTGTTTTTTTTTCCGGTATGCACGATCTCCGAGAATTACCGTTACTCACTCTCACTCTCTCTCTCTCTCTCTCTCTCTCTCTCTCTCTCTCTCTCTCTATATATATATATATATATATATATATATATATATATATATATATATATATATACATATGTATATGAGAATAATATCCAATGTATTATAATATTAATATATAATAATCATGTGAGAAAAACATCCAATGCATTATAATTATTAATATATAATAATCATATGATAATAATATAATATAATATATATATATATATATATATATATATATATATATATATATATATATATATATATATATATATATCAAACACGGAATATATACCAAGATATCAAGAGAAAGCGTGAAATGAAACAGAGAGGAAAGCAACGACTGTCAATCTATAATTCATATATTTATATATGGTATTATATTATCTTATTATATCAAATTGATATATAATTTATAATGAATGATATATGACATAATGAACTATAAGCTATATAAGTCAATTACATATATATGTATACTTATAATTGTAGGGGTTTAACAAAATAATTACCATTCAACAAGAAATTCCAATCATTTCGTTCATAACATATTATACCATAAAATAGATGTTTTCTTTTTTTCTCTAACTTTTTACGTATATATTCGTTGTCACTATCATTGTTGTTGGTGATAACATTTGTATCCTGTGCACCGAGATATGTATCTATTCTATTTAGACAGAATAACAGTAACATCATATAATGTTTATTAAAGTTAAAGGAAGATGAATATAACATTGCAGTGTCGATGAAGCGTTGTCTATGAAAGGTAAAATATATACAACTTTTCTTTATATCATCCTGGAAATAGATAACCTCTGCATATAAAGGACAAGACTTGCACTGTAACTTTAAAAGGATATGAAAATCCTTCTTATTCTTATTTGGATTTGTAAAATGGTATATACAAATTATTTTATCTAGGCCAATTTGAATATTGTGTGGATTCTCCTCTCTCTTCTTCTTTCCAGTACTGATATTCGTCTGCAGGAACCAGTGTAATTATCTCTTTTCTCTTTGATTTGAATTTTCGCCATCCAAATATGATAGTGCAATAGAAATGTTAACAGATAGAAAACGAATCATCTTAT